GTCTTTTATCTGAGGTGAATGCTATTTACAGCGGCTCACGCCTTCTTTTGCACCACTGAGTGTCGCACATTTCCTAACCAACCTAAAATCCCGGTAATCGATCAACATGTAAGGGTAAACGACCCTTCACCTCATCCTGACACTCTTGCAGGTAGGGGATTTACAATGTCTAACCGATCGGATAGGACAATTCATCAAGCGCTCGTGTGCTACACAGTGGGGGCGCCAGTTTTGAGAGTGAGGGTACAAATAGTGGGCAACACAGAGGAAGCATCATAGTTCGAAAATTTTCGAAAAATGATAAACTACGCATATATTGTGGCAAACACGTATAAAAATAATCATATTTAAAATTTGTTAGAAATAAAGTGAGGTACTATTGGGGGTGCAAACCATTTATCTAGGGGGCACCTCCTCTGATGCCACAGGTTTTTCACTTTTAAAGACCTCTTGACAGTTAACAAAAATAAGAGAAAATTAATGCAGCTGCCATTTCGAAACGTCCCTCCGTACAAAATACATGGGATTGCCCTTCTTCATTAGCCCGACAATAACTCATTTCATTTCCGTATTTAAGTGCATCCATAAATAGCTTGTATTCGTCTGTAAATTGGATTAATTTGAGAAAAAATTGGTTCACTGTAACCGCCAAATAGAGACAAAAATCTACAACTTTATTAGAATCAATACCATATATTATACATATTTCATATCATATCAGTGAATATCAAGAAACCTACAAGATGGTTTTATCTGATTAACAGGGTAGTCTGTACTCCATCAAATAGAGTTCACAGGGTGACAACTACTCACTACCATCAAGACAAGTTTCAATTACTCATATTCTTTAATTTATATATTTTGTGCTTGTGGTGTCTTGTATTTGTACTTTGGAATTTATATTAACAATAATCTGCAATAACAAAATAATTTTTACTGTTAAAATAGTGCTCAATACATCAAATGTAGAGCGATATAGAAATATAGAGATATTAAAACAGTTTGCATATATTTCTATATTTCTAATAAAAAATCTTCTCTTATCTTGAGTGGTGTATATTATTTAAAAAATGAAATGAAATAGAGTTATACGCCCTAGGTTTCTGTTGTAGATTGGCTAGTGAAAAGCATGCAGTATGCAATTCAATACTGCTTATAATGGGTCCAACCAAACACATGCCACTTTTCTACTTCAAATGTTACAGAAGTTTTGCCTAACGTTTTGGGAAAATCTGCAATACTGCCTTACAGAATACTAACCCTTTTTTTTTTACCTCACCCTGCCATCAACGTTACAGTAGTTTTGCCTTTTTCTAGGGTAATTGTTAATTCAACAATTTTCTAAAAGGTGACAACCTTGATAAGCTGGACTCAGATTAACTTTGGAAATTTTCAACGAAGTTGCATTTGACAGCTACTTTAATCAACAAATACGCAGCTGAAATATTTTCATACATTGAATATTGATTTATGCCGATTAAAAACAAACACAGTAGCAACAAGAAACGTCCTTATTAAATATCAATTTTCAAAGAATAAACATGTTTCTAAATTGAGTAAAGTAATTTGTAGCATTACAACTAAAGAATTGATGAATAAGTGTTTTCAGGGAAAATTTCCTCAATAAATCAAAGATTACGGTGCTCTTTTTGGAAACTAATTGAACTGTGTTGATATTAGGTTTTGCATTCTCTCGCCAATTATACTCACGGTTGGCACCATGGCGATAGCAATGGCTGGTGATGGTAGAACTCAAATTAAATGGGTTTACTATCAGAGATGCAGGGCTTTGCCTTAACTTTGAAAGCCTGGTGATATAACACAGATGGTATGCTTTATTCGATCTTGATTCGTTGTACTATGCAATGCCCCGCATCTTAAGAGTGCTGTTTACTTGGTGGAATTAAGAGTGAAGAAGTTTCTATGTAAAGCACTGGCCAAGGTCACAATAAAGATATATGCTACAGTGAAGTTAACAGGGTTAGTATTTAGTTCAGGACATAAAAACCGTCGTACCGGTAAACTATAATAAAAATAATGAGTATCAAAGTCTTGAGTGCAGAATATTAGAAAGTAAAACTCCTTTCGCAAAAACCGTGGAAGTAAAATGGCGCTAAGAAACCACGAAGAGTACTGAAATGTAGAAACAAAAACTACTTCATCCAGAATCACAAACAGTGGAATAATAAAATAAGACAGCATTAAAAAGAATGAAGGCACTTTAAATGTAATCTGATTTAGTATTGATAATGTGTGTTTAATGTCAATATTATTGAGATTGGAGGTTATTCATTCTAACTCTCCTACTGACAAATTTACATCATTACTGATTGATTATGATATATTACTCAATCTGACTAGAGCAAAATAATCAAAATAGACTCGTGGTTGCTGCAATTGATTTTGTATTTTTATGAATAACGTTTACTTAAATGTAAAGAAACACCAGGTATTACACTATTTTGCGGCATGACTTTGCACTATATCCCCATCCATGGTTAAAGGAAATTGATAGGGCAATATAATATAGAGGTCGAGTTCGGACTTTAAAACTGTTTAAAAGCAGGGTTACTTGACACATAGACTCATTTAGGATTTTTTTTATGGTCGTGATAGCGAACTTCTTGACAAATATTACAAATCTGATCCTTTCTTTAGCACAGTCGGTTAGAACAGTCTTTACATGACGTCATTTGCTCGGTCACGACAGCTGTGAGTTCTGATCTCGAACGGCGTGTAAAGGTCTCATGACCTTAAAAGTCATCTTCACTCATAACCCAGCTATAAATTGGTACGTATACTCCAGGAAAGATCAAGAGTTTTGGACAAGGACCAGCTGGTAGAAAGGATCCTTAACTGTGAATCTAAGTTGTTAACCATGTAAAATTGTTTCTTTCTTTCTTTTCTTTCTTTCTTGCATCTTGGCAGATGCTTTAAAATTGACCGTATCTCATGATATTGACCATTTAGTAGTGACGGGTGTCGCGCACGAAGCAGATCATACTTACACTTTAGAACACTTGATGGTACTTCTCTTTTGGTCGACAGCTAAACAACTTTTACTCTGGATTTTGCCTCATTATATAGGAAATTCAAAATTAGAGTACACCAGTGTCCTGGCAAAATTTCCCTTGTGCAGTGCTTGGCGTTCCATTTATTTTTATATTAGCCTAATTTCTGCAAGTAACAAAATGTCTCTTGTATTACAAGCATTCATCATATACTTTGTAATTTGTTACATGGATCTGTTTAGTCCTTTATTTAACATTCACGTCGCTGTTAATAAAATCGATTACAATTTGCTTTAGAGCATTTACTTTGTAGTCTCCTGGGAATATACTCCTTATTGACATGTTTCTATCTTAGTCAGAAATCCTTTCAATTTAACCACATGGACCAAAACTATCTTTGCTTTCAGCCTTACTGTAAGTCTATTAAAATTGGTTTTCGAACTTTGTTATGAATTCAAACACAACTAAGCGATAAAATAAAAGGTTGTACGACCACATAACAGTAAATTGAAATATGCAATATGAAATATCCAGCCTTGAGTCATACACTTCTTACTAACATTTTTGAGTGATAATGAACAATGTTATTTAGTTTTGTGAACAAGGCAACAACTCATATGAAAAATATTTCTATTTTTCAAATTTTCAACAGGGCTCATCCTTGGGTGATAAACATATTCACAAAGTTTTCTCAAAATCGTCAAGAATTGTGCCTTTTTTAGAGTTACAAGTCATTGTGGAAGGACTGACACTGGTGATGCTGATATATGCTCTACATTTCATTTCAAATAAGAATTGATAGTACTGAGCAAAGACTCAAAAACTGTTCATCCAATCAAAAATAAAGTCTATCGCGTTCACAAACAAGGTTGACAATATACGGCCACATGTATAGTGTATGGTAAATATGATTAAATATGTTTTTAAAACCACATAAACGAGAGGTTAAAATTCCAGGCTGTCAAAAGATATTTATGTGATTTCAGGTTGGAGAAAATATATTTAGCAATAGAATTATTCAGCTTTAGGAATAAAAATAAACTTTTGAGAGAACAGTGAAAAATCGTGCTAGGAACCGGTTCGTATTATATTTGTTGGTTTGTGGATACCTTTCCTCGTCTCAGAGGGAGTGCTAGAATAATCGTAGCTATGTTTTGTTTTTGGTGTAATTATGATCGAGATTGCGATCTCAATGTATTTATGCATGCTATTTTGAAAGGTGAATTCAAAATGTTAACAATATGACATCTAAATATTGACAATTTTTATTCAAATTAAACTAAATATAACCGGGTGTAGCTTTGCATATAATGCAATCATAAAATATAGTTTTTTTATAATCCAAGTAAGGGATAGGCGAATTGGTTTATTCCCTTTACAGTATCAAATTCATATAAATATAAAAGAGATGACATCATATTTCAAGATTTAGCAGTTTACCTCGAAATATTCATACGCTTTCATACTTACTTAAATTTGATACTGTAATATATATAAACTATCACAAAACTTGGATTAAATTGATAGAAGAAAAATATACATGTATATTACACAATAGGCCTACATATATAATCATGAAAGTTGTCATGGGTATCCATTTTCATAAGTTATAACCAAGGTGGATTTAAACAATTAAATGTCAAATTGACAGATATAAACTAATTCCTTTGTTATATAATTTATGTACTGTTATCACGAGCGATAATAAAAACGAAATTGTGTTGAAATGAATGAAGTCTTACGTCCTACTACTTGTTTCTAATTGGGTTAATGGAGGACCATTTTGCCAGGGCAGTTAGTAGTAGTGTAAGTCGGTTTTCAACTATTGAAAGTTCCTTAAAATTCACAGGAACTGCAGTTAGCAACTACAGCATTCATGTCCGGACAAGACAAGTGTATCTCACTATACAGCTTGAATTGAATCATATATTTTAGAGGACATTACATCATACCTTTTACCAATTCATAGATATTGTATTCTTCACCCATAGGGTCGAAACCGCTCAGAAACTGAATTCTACCTTCTCTGATGAGACACAGTTTGATTGGGAAAGCCGCATATGATGCACTAGTAAGATTTCCCATGACGTCAGCAACCACTGGGATCTTTATTTCAAAATGGTTTCTGACATATTCTGCTGTTTCCAAACGTGACTTCAAGTCTTTATGTTCATTGATTTTGAATTTGTTGTAGTCTAAAGCCCAGTCATCGGCTGCATGTGCCTCTACAATATACACTATGAGAAAATCGGCAAGAGCTCCAAACTCTAAAGCAGAAGAGTTGAACTCGCCCATTTTCTTTTCCATCCCGGGTCAGCTACAGCTACCGAAGAATATCACCAGCATGCGATCTGGTTTCATAAAATCCAGCAGCTTTATCTCTTTGCTGTCTAAAGTAACGACGGGAGTGTTTGGAGCTGTGGAACCAACTTGCAGATCTCCATTGATATTTGCATTCAAAGCACGAAACATATGTAAAAAACTTCTCCAACCAAGTGATCTGAGGTTGCCGTCGATCTCATCCGACTTCATAGTAGTTCCACCAAAAGTGTTCCTTACAAACCATTTCCGTAATGGCGGTATCTTATTGATGATGTAGCCCGTTAGATTTAAAAAGAAGGCAAATACCAGGATAATAATGGATATGATGGGCTTAGGTAGGTACGGCTTTAACGATTTCAGTCTGCTGAACGCCATGTCTTGTATAATATTCAGTGGTATCTGAAAAGTAATATAAAATGCTTTTCCATCTAATGCATAAGTCCTATCTATCACAAAAACGAATGTAGGGTGGTACAGACTTAACCTAAAAGAAAACAATATACATAATAGATATGACATATTAATGCCCACCACAAACATCCTATACCAATTATTCTATACGAATTGAAACATCAACCCAAAAATAGAATTCAGAATCTTATCATGCCTTTAATTTAACCCAATTTTTTCTATTAAAAAGATTTACAAAATTATGATTTTGATTTTACGGTGGGGAATTTTCATTTTCTGGAAACAAAGTATTTTCATTCTAATTTTAGATCAATTTTTATTGACTTGAAGAAATTCCAATACAATTACTATAGAATATGATAATTGGTTCCAAATCACAGCCGTGCAGATCTGGAAACCGGATCACCGTATTAACGGTTACTTTTATATAGTAAATATTCCGTTCCCAGTAAAAAGTGTGCGGATTTCGAGGTTTCCGGATTATCGGCAACCGGATAAAGGCGAGCGGCTCCACTGTATAATTGACATACACGACGAGATCTTTAGTGAAAATAATAATAAAACAAATTCAATACAGATATCAAGATCTGTCATCGATTATGCTTAAATCATATCATATTTTATATTAAATTAACAAAACCAGCTTACCTTTATTTTAAAATCACTCCATTTGTATCCATTTCCATTTCACACTTTCTCACCAGTATCTTTTAGTAGAACATAATATATATATTTTGAAATAGGGTTAGTATGTCAACATGTTCAACGACGGGTCAATATCTAGGACGTTTTGTTACGTATATTTAAAATATATACTAACTAAAGAGCGCACAGATAATTTTCTCATACAATCAACGATGGATACATGGTTTTAAGAAAATTTCCATGTCAATAGCCGCGTTTCCATCAATAATTGTAAAGTAAAGCTGGCTCTAAGCGCATTGTTGACTACTCGCTAACAGCTTGTTAACAACAAATATGTAATAAACATTCCCGTACATGTATAGCCGTTGATGTAACTTGGATTATGCAAAGTTATCAACAGTGACGAAATACAGCAATTGCACTTTGTCACTAATTCTTCATATTAGACACTGTGTAAAATAAGGTTTTATGTTGTGTTGGGCTTAGAATGATAACATAGATTGCAAAGGGTTTTATAATATAACATGTTACAATAACAATTATTTATGATAACAGTTTAATACTTCAACAAAACAAACTACATTAAGATACATTTATTTTGTATTCAGAAGAACCTCGCATGTACAAAGTTAACAGTTTAAAAATTATCCATACAAAATACATTTAAAATATATAAAAGATATAAGCATCATATTTCAAGATTCTAGCAATTTACCTTAAAATATTCATAAACTCTTTCATAATTGTGGAATTAGTACAGATTGATATTAAACGACTGCACTTACATCATTCATTGGGATCAGTCCGTAAACCTGTATCTTATATTTGACCAGTTACTTGCTTTGATCTTTCGGTACAAAAACATAAAAGTTAACAATATTTTTATTTGTATCGTGAGTGTAATGCACAACGCATATAGAGTGCTGAAACAGAGAATTACAAACTCAACTTCAAGAAAAACCCACAGTACAAAGATTACGATTCACATGATTATCCTCAAACGTGGATTTTCAATATAAATATCGATACCAAAGGGTTATTTTTGTACATAGGAATCGGAGAAATTGGTTACGTCCAACAATGCACCCGAAGGACGATCTGGAAGGCAGTACGGCAGTATTTTGCAATGATGCCATTTATGGATTCAGAGACTAAATATTTAATACAAAACTTTAAATATATTGATTAGAAAACTATAACATATGTTTCACCAACTGAGAGACACTATATTCTTGACCCATTGGGTCAAACCCACTATAAAATAGGACTCTCTGGTCTTTTATGATACATAACTTATTAGGTTGAGCAGTATACGTGTTATTGGTATGGTTCTCCATAACGTCAGCAACTACTGGCATCTTCAACTTAAAATGGTTTTTGACATATTCTGCCGTTTCCAAACGTGAATTCAGGTCTTTATGCTGGTTTACTTTGAATGGATGGTAGTCTAGAGCCCAGTCATCGGCTGCATGGGCTTCTGCAATATATACTAAAAGAAAATCGGCATGAGCTCCAAACTCAACGGAAGCAGAATTGAACTCGCCGATTTTCTTTGACACCCCCACTCAGGTACAACTACCGAAGAATACAACCAGCAACCGGTTCGGTTTCATAAAATCGAATAGTTTCATCTCTCTGCCTTTCAAACTAACGATAGGGGTGTTTTGAGCTAAAGATCCGACATGGATATCTCCTTTCATGTTTAAATTCAATGTGTAGTACATATCCTTTAAACTCGCCCAGCCAATTGATCTGAAGTTACCCTCATGTTCTTCTGGTGATAAAACTTGGTTACCAATGCCTCTGGTTATTACTAGTCTCCGTAGTGGTGATATTTTGTTTATGATGAAGCCCACTACAGTCCACGATAAAACACAAATGAAGATAATAAGCGATACCACTTGTGTAGGCAAGTACTTTTTCAGAGTCTTAAATTTGTTCATGAGCATTTTTGGTTTTGACCGATTGACCAATTTGGCATCCATCTACAATGTATAACATACGTGTATTAGTTTTTCCATTTAAAGTGTGATAAAATTCACAAGTATTGTAAGATTAATGAACAAAGATACATGTAAGCTAAATAATAATAAAATAAGCCTTGGATGTTAAAGCACCGAAGAGTTCAACAATCGCTTTTTTTCACTAATTTGATTGTGTTCTATGAAATTGATTGACATTTCTTAAAGACAAACAGTATACACCTCTACACCTCAATATGGCGTGTACAAAACGTAGTATGTAAAGGCTGTCGTTAACAACATTAATGCAAGTGTTCTCAGTTTAACATTATATATAAGTCTATCCTTTCACATCTTGATATTTTATGGAGAAAAAAAAACATTTCCAACGGGAACATACCTTGAACGCTTGATGGTCAATACAGTTTGCTACTTGTTGTGCAAGACTATCAGCATTAAATACTCTTTTATTATCAAATACTTTGGCTATCTGTGCACTCTAGTAAAGATATCGTAATATTTTATCCAGTGTGCTATTTTATCTTTTGTGCCAATGTAATAGGGTCAGGATGTAGGACAGGTCGTAATCTAGGACTTTCTTAGTTTTTTATATACAGGGGTACTTGAATAGCTTAAACAGTTTCAAAAGGTATTTCTTGGAGTGTTTATGCGCATTTCATATGACCAGATGGTTCAGATATCATATCTATGGTTCCTATAGACCTTTTTCACACATCGGCCATATTGAATCCAGAACGAGGCTCATAACTCTTAACAAACGTAACGTGGTGTCACTGCATTAAGACCGCCACCTTGACGTCTTTAAAGTCTCCTTCTCCAGTCCTAGTGACTCAAAAAATTAAGCATATTTTACCTCATTAAAATCGGAATGATTAAGCTATATTCACACATTTCTGAGAAAGGGCAGTTATAAGCTCATTTCCTCGCTTTGATGGGGTATTCAGTGACGTCAAATAGGCTATTCATATAGGCTATTCATAATTTGCGTTATTAACCCCGCTTTCAGTGTCTCAAAAACGAGGCTGAATAGAGTCTATTGTATCATTTTTCATCCAATGTAGCTTCTGAAGTTTTAAAGCTGACTTTGCGATTTTTTATCTTTGGTAAAAATCGAAGATCTCCTGCTCGAAACGATCCTGTGCAATGTAATAGCTCAATCGGTAGCAAGTTGAATTATCGTCTGATAGACACTGATAAGTGTCGTGGCGTTGAATCCTCCTCAAGGTAAGAAAATTCCGATGCACGTGCAATTGCTTCAGAGAGTCGGCTTTCACCCCCAAATACCTCAATATAAATCCTTTTCAATGTATTTTAGGGATATTTCGGGTTTATTAAATACGGAGAGGACTGTTATAAGCAGCATGTCATATTATCTAAGAATATCAATTATATAGTAAGACTAATCAAGTATGTTTCATGTTTTTATGATCTTAGATAATATGACAGCTGGTGTAAACAGTTGGATCATTATGTCGGTCAATGTATATGACTTGAATGGTGACTGATTAAAATTCATATACATTAAATACTATTTCAGGTAAGAGCTATGTATTCTTATAGTATGTTTATATTTTAAATGTTTTCCAATGTTAATATTTCTATTTTACCTTTTGCTAACTAAAATATTACCTTTGTATATTGTATATTCATATGTTTATATACTGACCAATTCATATTATATTCAATACTGTTTCAGATCTCGTTATTTATTCTAAACTCTATCTAAAACCCGACATCCAGCATCTAAGACCATATCGACACTTGGGCTTAGCAACTACATGTATATCAACCCCCAGAGCTACACAGGCTTCAGTTCAGTATCGATAGCCCCCGTCGATACTGCTGATTATTAGTGCTACCACCAGAAGTAATAAAGAGCAATGATAAAGTACTAATTGTTAATTAAGCAATATAACCTAGTTTTGGTGGTTGGGGTTTATAATGGCTCGATATTAGTTGAATCCTTTAGAATATGTAGGCGACACATTACTCTAGATTTTGGTGTATAGTATTCACAAATTGGAGCAAATAAACTTTAGATCTACAGAATGTCCCTTTAATGTTATATTGATAATTCAGCCTACATATTGACCTGTTCTACATTCTACAAGTCTTTATATCGAAACGACCTCAATCCTTTCATTACATCATGATCTAGATCGTATTTTTCCACTACTTTAAATCAGACGTTGAAAGTTGATTTTGGAAGGTAAGAGACAAGTTTTTATTCCGTTCATATTCCTAGCGTTAAAATACATTATCTATGGTTTTGCAGATGATTGACACTGGAAGTTGAATTTTGTCAACACTTGGTATTGGTATGAAGTAAGTACATATACGAAGTATTGTATATACGAGATAAATATATAATAGAGGCAGTATGCAAAATTTTCACTGTCAAAAAGTCGTAAATTATACCTGAAAATATATATAAAATATGCTATTCACAATGTTTCTATTTGATAAAACTTGTTAAAATTTGTTTTAATCGTTTTATTTAAAAACGGAGTGTACTAATTGTTAAGTAAGCAACTTAAACTAGTTCCGGTGTTCTTAAAGACTCGATATATTTAGTACAATCCTTGGATAAAGTAGGCGACATATTTCTCTTCGATTAAGCGTTTATTTTGCTTAAATCCGTTCTGTCGTTTTCTAACAGCTACCAAAAAGCATAACGACCTCAATAAGTTTATGTAATAATTACGTAAACTTTTTAATAAAATTTTGAAGTTTAAAAGTTAACGACAAGATTTTTTTAGTTCTTACTTTCAGACAAGTTGAGGGACAGAATTCTCTAGGTTTTGGTATATAGTTTTCATAAATTTGAGCAAACAAAAATTTCTACAAAAAAAAACCGAAGGCTTCTTTTTAACACATATAAAAGATAAATTGACATTCTACTTCTGAATTTATAACATACTGCGTTTCGAAAGACTTACAGACAACGTTATCATGTAAAAGAGATAACGTAGTACATGTGTGAAAAATTCAAATTCAATTTGTATATCTATACATGTCTGTGTATTTTAATGTTACTATCAAACATTATAGAAAAATATAATTTTGAAATGAAATAAAAAAAAATTAGTTTCTATTGCAGTGAAGTCTCAGAGGAAAATCACCTGAAATTTTCCCGTATTTTCCTCCTTAACGAAAGCTCTCACTATCGCAATCAGAATTACCTTACTCCTCTTTGTCTCTAACATGATCAAAATCATCCTACTCTTATTTGATTTTAACACGATCAGGACAATCTTACTTTTTCTATGTCACTAAACGACCATAATCATATCGTTTTTCTTTATGCCACTTAAACGATCAGAATCATCGTCGTAGCTTTATTTGTCATTGACACGATCAAAATCATCTTACTTTTCTTTGTCACTAAAAAGGTCACAATAGTCTTACTTTTATGTGTCACTAGCATGGACAGTTATGTTACTTTTCTTTGACAGTCAAAGATTGTTCTAGTTCCTGCAATATTTTTTGTATTTTCAGTGTAATGTAAATTCAGACGCCCTGCATCATGCTTAATTCGTTGACACGTACACTCTTAGTGTTAAAGCCCTACGTACCTAAACCAATACTATGGTGTCCCCTTTTACTGCACATGTTCTTTGTTCATGTTTTGGGATTAATAGTAAATCTAATACCACCTCTTCGCAGCTGGATAGCACAGACTATGCATGGTGATGATTCCATTGAAGTGACGGAGCGTAATATTAAATCTATAGGTTGGTCCAGCTTTAAAACCATGTATAGCACCTGGAGTACCTTCCTTTACGATAAGATCGACGTTGGTTCAAAAGCACCCAATACAGCTGTTGTAAGTCTTGGTGGAGAGGAGATGATGATCTTGGATTTCATGAAACCAAATCGGATGCTGGTGATATTCTTCGGTAGCTGTACCTGACCCGGGATGGACAAGAAAATTGGCGAGTTCAACTCTGCTGCTGAAGAGTTTGGAGCTCAAGCCGATTTTCTCTTAGTGTACGTGAAGGAAGCTCATCCGACTGACGAATGGGCTTTAGGTTTCAACAAATTTAATTATAAACAACAAAAGAATCTGAACAGTCGTCTAGAAACAGCAACACAAGTTCGACATTATTTCAAAATTAAAACACCAGTGGTAGCAGATACTATGAGTAATGTGACGTGTGTCTCCTATTCCGCTTTTCCTATTAGAGTTTGTATTATCAAGGATAACCGAATACAGTTTTTAACCCATTTTGATCCCATGGGGGGAAGTTATAACATCTTTGAGCAAGTGAAACAGATGCTCTAAGTATTTGCTTTACCGTTATTTGTAGAGGTAAACATTAAGTGGTGTCGTGCATCTATTATAGGACAGGCTTTAGTATATATATATAAAGGGAGGTTATTATTTCCATGTTAGGGTTTATGTTGGCATAAGGAATCGTGCAATTCATAAGGTTATTGTGACATACTGCGTACCGTCTGTATATGTATTACTGATGACGATGACTGACAAATACAATACGAACGCCTGGCATTCTATTTGTTTTAGAAACTGTTATCATCTTAACCTATCGGAGGCCTTAACCCAATTTAATTAGATAAAATTAGTGGTCTAACAAATACGCACTTTTTAGTTATTTTCGAAAAAAAAAATTCATATTAATCAATGATAAAGAAAAATAAATATAAATGAATTTATGAATATTTTGGGGTAAATTTGCAAGAACCTTAAAATATGATGCTACTTCTGTTTGTATTTTTCTTTTTTTCCTTTTTGAATAATATTTTTTTTGTCTGTAGCTAGGTAACTATCTGTAAATCTTTATCTTTATAAATTAAAAACATTTAAAGCCGTTTTGGTCAACCACCTTAAAATTGTTATCATTACATCATATTGTAAGAGTTGATGATTCCTTGGTCCCTTCTCCCTCCCCCCCCCCCCCCCACCCACCCGTGACATTTTTGTGACCCCTGCTTATCCCCCCCCCCCCCCCTTACCTTATGTTTTCTAGGTTCTCCATAAGGAGAAATTAGATAGTATTCATATTTATACTCTCAATTGTGCCATGCTTTGAACGAGTTTCCGATTAACAGAATCTCCTTGCTTGTATGGATTTTTTTTTTATTCATATTGGTTTTAGATTCGATGCCATAGTGGGAATTTTTCATAACAACCGAAATATTCATGTTGTCTAATCAAGCACAAACTTGACAATACCATTAAATAAACAAATTACTGATTGACAGGATATACCAAAATCAATATGGCGTTACTTCCGGTCACTGATTAGGTTAATTAGCCACTATCTTCATTACAAGTGGACAAATAAGTACGGGAATATTTATCTTGAAGGGAATCACTAAAACCTGTTTATACTTCATTTACTGACTGACTTCTTATCGCTAAATCCGAAAGACTGATATTGTCAACAGCTAGTTTGATCAAGTTGTTTTTTCTTATAACATAACAGGATATTATCCTAAATACGAATCGTCCCTGTTGCATGCAACTGATTTTGTCAATGGTTTTTAAATCCTGCACTTCCAATGGAATTTCGAAAGGGATTTTTTCTAAACAATATTTATTTATAAGATACAATTTATACATACATATAAATAAGCTATAGTTTCAGAAAGGATCCGTTCAGGTATACGTTTAACACAGGCCCTACCCTGCTAAGGAGCGCAAAAGATGATAGCTCATATTTATCTAAGAGGCAACACTGCACCAATATGTGGTCCACCATTTAAGCTGTGATTAGACGAGGTACGGTGTATGGTGCTTGATAATCGATACGTAAGAAGAGAATACACGAGGTATACTGTATCGATGACCCTCAACCCCCCACCCCGCTTGATACATCACACCTGTTCCATTCGCGGCGATTTACTGTTTCCGGAGACCAAATGGAACTTGTGAAGTAACACATTTAGTTGTGCATTGCGTGATTCGATAAATGATTAGAAAAATAATGAATATCTCTTACCGGGGGTAATAGATGAATTTATAATGGACGATGATTGATCAAAATACTGACCTATGTCCACTTTGTTCAAACTAGTAACCAATAAACTAGTCCGTCCGTATTAACAGTATACACTGAATTAATCTCTGGACAGTCTCTAGTCTGATTTTTGATAAATTTGTTACTAGTTAATTAAATTTCAGACCAATTACTGACCATTCGTCAAATTTCAGCCAGAAAAATATTAAAACGGCTCCAAATTAATCGCAATTCTACTAAACCAAGAAATGATAGAGCTACAATACTACCACACTTCATCATACATAGAGAGTGACCAATCGATAGGTTTGACAGAATCCAATATCACAATGAAGTGATCAATCATATTGCTTACACTATAATACATATGACGACTTATATAACGGACCTCTGTATAAACTTATTTGCATTGCCTATTTATGAACGTCAGTTTTCTGCACAGAGGCCGTTTAAAATTTCCTCAAATACCGTTACTCGAAAAACCGCGAATACAATTTGATTTCTCCATGAAGTGATCATATAATATTGCTTAAGCTTACACCATAATATATATGGCGATATTATAACAGGCTTCTATATAATCGTATTGACTATTTATGAATCTCAGTTATCAGCACAAATGCCGTTACAACGTACCTTATGCCGCTACCCCCAAAAATTCAACTTCCAAAACTAAGAATCAGTGGACTGGCGATTCACAGTATCTCATAGGATTCGTCGCAGTTTACCTGATCAGAAAAAGCAGCTGAGTACTCATAAAATAAGAAATAATGTCAAATAAGTCGAGTTCCCGTCTTCCTAAAAGTATTCGGCAAAATTTCACGCTGCCACTGATGCTGTATCGACTATTTTCTTGAATCTTGGAATTCGACGTTAGTTAAGAACCCCACTTAATATTGCCAAAACTTATCTTGTAGCTAACACGATCATTGACACTTAGCATTCCCAGCCCAATAATAAATCTCTTCGGCATCATAGTAACCATAGTTGTTGGTATCACAGAATAGGATTGAAATGCGAAGATTCGAATCCTTTCAGTCGACTTTGATGTATTATTTTTTTCTTTTTATCACATGAACTTGATCCCTAACTTGAGGCATGACAACTAATCGTGTCAAAAGGCGCCGTTTCTTAAGTAAACTAATACAGAATTTTGATTAATGCTGTAGTGAAATCCATATCGCCAAACGAAGTATTCTTAATTTCTCTAGAAACGAAAGGAAATTCGTAATGGTTATACATTTATTACATTTTCTAAATCATCTGCGCAGTGACTCGGATACTGCATATTTATCAACTCCTGACTAAAGATCGAAAACGCCATCCAACGCGTAATATGGAATATTTTGTCAGGGATGTGAAATTAACCCATTGTTTTCCATTCTCATCTGTCGAGAGACTTTTTACTTGCTCTCGCACAAGACCTCGATCTATTACCTAAGACGAACGATTAGATGTGTTAATCTCGTCAAACACTTAGAAACCAGGCCCATTGCGAACCAATTTCAAAAGATACAATTCATTTACTTCAGTTGACCTAGATAAGAAATTCTACCATGTCTAAGTGGTGAAAATCTATACCAATTTGATAAGGAAACCATTCAGTTTAGTCGCAATATCCCCATCTTGATGATTATAGCGAACTGTCCTTAAGTACCTGCTTGAATCTGTCTGAATAACTTGGTTTATTGTTCCTATCATAGATTAGGTTGTATTTAACATGATTACACACATACTTCATCGTAAACCGTTTTACTGGTACGAAACGCCACTAAGATTTCCATAAAATTTAGAGCGGTTGTATTAGTGAGTGTTGATTGCTAACCCGTAATTTCGTTTCGATTCCGGCCTTCCACCCATCCAATGTAATCCTTTAAATCACTTCAATTCCCTTCATTCTCGATTCCAGTGTCGAAAAGAACTAATGAAGAAGGACAGAAAAATTATCTACCTTTAGTCAGTAAAAAGAAACCAAAGGTGACGTAAGACTCAATTTGGCAACCCTTCATACATGGCAAGTTTATATAGTCTAATAGTAATAAAGCTTCTATCTGGTCAATACCGTCTGTCTCGACCAAATTCTTCTGTTTTTCAGAAATTAATTAAAGGAACAAGAGCCTTCAGATGGTACTGCTCAAATGACATCCCGAAGACTGGAAAACATAATTTGAATTAAGACCAATGGTTTGACCTGTGAAAGCTTTTACATTTGTCTGATTAACGAGTTCAGAGAGGAAATGTTCTTCTGGGTGAACATGCACATATAAGTATTGTCAACTGGTTGTTAATATGGTCTTCTGAGAGGGAACATTTAAATCGATGCAATTTTCTAGAGTTACTAACCCAACCCTTACAACTGGGTCAAGAGCAGTGTCCTTTTTGTGATATCTGTTTGTGAGTTCCGATTACTTTAAGTTTTTTTGCCATGAACCATCTGATCTTATTTTTTGTATTTAAGCATAAATAAACAAAGTACCAAAGATCCGTACTGCAAAACGAAACCCGAAATCCTAAAACATACTGGCAAAACATTCGTAGCTAATGAACTTTTCACTTGAGGAAGTATATCAATCATAGGTAGGTATTTCAAAATGAAAAGAGGTATCAGGTGTCTAGAAGAGTAAACGTACCCTGCCTAGCTCAAAACACGTCATAGTCGCTTTTCATTAATCACATGACTAGACGATGTCATCATTCAACTGTAATTGAAATGTTCAGACCTTGTATCTAATGATTACAATTCACGAGTGTTATAATAACATGTTAACTAGTCTATATAATATTATAATAACAATAATGATTTTAGCATTATTAGACTTTGCGTCTACTAAATCCTTGTAATGTCATACCATTTACCAGTAGATCGACATAAAGATCAGACAACTGGTAAAGGTTTTAAATGCCTTCTTCTGTGGAGAGTTAGCATGGTCTTTGATTGTTAAAATCAACGTAGATGAAAAAACTGTCTTCATCTGAAAAGATTTTTGTATATAATACCTATCTTTTTATATAGCTCTGCGACAGAAGCGACATCCACTGAGAATGGACTAAAACTATGATATCCATGTTGGGATATATAATACAGAACACCAAGTGTAAAGTAATTATTTAGGCGTTGACTTTTCACTTTTAACTACTATTATAACGCCTTAAAACAACCGTCCTCGCAGTTAATCATTGTCTAAGGTCCACTGTGTTAAACAATTATCTTAGATATACTACCCTTTCTCACGCTCTCAATACAGAAACGGAAATTGGTATGAATTATTATTGTTGGTTATCGCCACTATTTATTTATAGT